ATGCTGGGCTGGGTCTAGTGATCTGGGATAGTAGGGAGGTCCCACTGCCCAGGCCACCCTGTACTCACACCCCTCCGCTTGCCTAGTACAATCCTGATCTACTTTCACTCTTGCCTTCCAGCTCATAGTCCTCAGGCTCATGCCAATCCACAGGAGAAGAGACTTCCAGCAGGTAGGTGGCTCCAACTGGTTCTGGGGCATAGGATGTGGCTTCTTTGCCAGTCAAGGGCTGGGGAGACTCTATTGGGCTGAGGACCAGTACAAATAGGGGCCACTTATCTTGAGGGCATTTTCCATCTCACCTTGCAGATGATCCAGAAGTGCGCGTTCTACACAGCATTGGTCATAGTGCTGCCCCCCGCCTCTTCCCTCTTGCCTGGACTGTGCTGCTCCTGCCACTTCTACTTCTGCAAACCCAGTGAAGATCTGTGCCACACCTGGCTTAAGGATTGGAATTGGGCCAAGGAGCCAGGGACAGGCACACCTCATCTGTCCTGGGGCCTGTCTCACAGCTCCAGCCCTGGGAACCACTCCCACCACAAGCATAGGCTGCCACCCAGCAGCCTCAAAACGGGTCAGTATTAAGGGTTTCAGCCCAAAGGAAGTCAACCAGCCTGACAGCGCCATCCCCCCACTTCAGAGGGATGGAGAAATAAGTGGGGACTGTCCTTTCCCTGCCATTCCTGCCTTTAAGCCAAAGAAACAAACTTTGCAGAGATGGCCCCTGATGAGGGTCCAACAGGAACAAAGCTGGAAGGGGCCTGAGGCCATGTAATGGACAATGAGCTTGGCAAAGATGCCCCTCCCAGAGAGAGCCAGGATGCCCAGATGAACTGACTGAAGGAAAAACAAGACAGTTTCCTGCAGGGAGCCAGGTACAGGAGAGGCAACATGCTTGGGCTGACCAGCATCTCCCAGAAGACTTCTGTCTGTGGGGCTGCCATAGAGAGGTTTGTAGCCAGGCACTGCGCCCTCCCCCAGTATTGGGTCACACTACCTGGAGCTGTGCCAGCAGGGAGGCTGTGCCAACCTGTTCTTAGTGTAACTTAAAGGGCAGGGCCCACGTGTACAGTATCTGTATGTAAACTTTTTGTGTGTCTGCTGATTTCTACAACTGGATTTTTTTTATACAATGTTCTTTGTTTCAAAATAAAGCATTGTGTTGGTTTTTTTGGACGTTCTTTTCTGCCCCTCCACGTTGACTTGTAACCACAGCGTCCCTGGAGCACCATGCTCTGGTCAACATACATCAGAAGCAATCCGATTTGAAATTCTCTCAAAAGGGTGGGGAAATCAGAGTGCTCCCCAGAGCAGTCTCTCGGGTTCCACTCAGCACCCCATTCTGGAAGTTCTTCCGGTCCAACCTCTACCCCACTCCCACCCCCTCGCACAGGGCTTGGCATACCATTCAGGTACTCAAGCTGTCTGGATGAGTCAGGGAAGCTGATGCCAGCTGAGGCATGCGCCCCGCCTCACAGCTCCACGACAGCAGTGAGAAGGACACTTCTCAGCAGCAAGCAGGTTGGGCCAGGGGTCAGTGACAGGGGCATGCGTGGGCTGGGCAGGCCAGTTAATCGACCTTGTGGCTGAAGAGGGAGGGGGACGTCTGACGAAGGAAGACGGTCTTCCCTGGCAATCCCTGCACGTCGGGGGGGAGGGCAACGAGGGGCTCCGGTAACCGGGAGACCCACACTCTGGGCCACCCGCGACCCTGATTGGAGCTCTGGGTGGGAGGCAGGCGGAAGCCCGCTGCCGCGGCTCCTGAGTTCCACCACACCTCGGGCACGTGAGTGAGGCTGGGGGCCCAGGTGCTCCGACGTGGGCGGCCGTGTGGGGGACAAACTCGCAAAGCCTCGCAGGGGATCCGCCGGGACCGCGAGGGAGACCTCCGCACCCGGCCTCCGGGAGGCGCAGCCCAGGCGGGCGGCGCGCGAGGGCGGGGTGCGAGTTCCGGCGCGGCGCGCGCGCCGTGCGGGGGGCTCGGCCGGTTTCCGGGGGACGGCGGCGCGCGGGGGCGGGGCCGGAGCGTGTGGGGCGGGGCTCCGGCGTCGCCCGCTACCCGCGGAGCCTGCTGGCGCCGGGCGCCGGGCGCGGGTTCCGACTCCGGCGGCATGGGGCCGGGCGGCGTGGCCGACACGCTCCTTTCCGGAGCTTGCGTGCTCTTCACCCTCGGCATGTTCTCCACCGGCCTGTGAGAGCGCGGCCGGGCCGGACTGGGGCAGGACCAGGAAGTCAGGAAAGGAGAGAGTGGGCAGGGACGTGGCCATAGCCGGGGCTGCGCCCGGAACTCGGGGTCAATGTGGAATCCGGTTGAGGGGACCGGGGGCGAGGCTGTTCGCAAGCCTGAGGGAGGGGCTGCCTGCGGGCCTTGGGGAGGGTCGTGAGTACTGGGCATCTCCCACCCACCCTTCATCCCTCCTTTCGGGACCCCCTTACAGCTCGGACCTCAGACATATGCAGATGACCCGGAGCGTGGACAGCGTCCAGTTCCTGCCCTTTCTCACCACGGATATCAAGTGAGAGGGGCGACGGCTGCGTTGGGAAAGGCTGTCTTGAGGCAGACGGGGGAAGGGCCGGAGGACGCGGAAGAAGCCCCAGGGGACACCCTTCTACACTCAACCCCGCGGGCCGTATCCCTCCCCTCCGCCCTGCAGCAACCTGAGCTGGCTGAGTTACGGGGTCTTGAAGGGAGACGGGACCCTCATCGTGGTCAACGCCGTAGGTGCTGTGCTTCAGACACTGTATATCTTGGTGTATCTTCACTACAGCCCTCAGAAGGTAGAAAGCCCTCCCTGGGACCCACCTTCCTGGTGCACGCCCTGCCTTGCTGGCAGTGCAAACACTACTTCCTGGAAGACTATAACAGGTTGGCACTGCCACCTTTTCCTAGAAGGTCCTCCTTCCAGCCTTGCAGTTCTTCCATGAAGCTAGTCTTCCTGGACTCACACATTGCCCCCCATTCTGGCAGGGCTGGTAGTGCTGCCCCGAGCTTCCACCCAACAGGCTGAGAAAGGGCTTCTGTCTCTTGAGAGCTCCTTCAGGGCCAGTGCCTGAGAATGAGATGGTGAGCTCATCTTCCCCAATCACACAAGCATATATTAAGCTCCTACTGTGTGTGCCAAGCTCGCAGAAAAAGATACCTTCCCTTCGCTAGAAGGAGTGTTGTGTGGATAAAACTTCTCCTTCAAGTCACTGATGGGAGACAGGCTGTGACAAGCGTAATACTAGAGGTTGCAACAAAGATTACTTTCCCCACTGGAGTATGGGAGAGGGCAGGATGAAGTCATTTCAACAGGGAAGTCAGAGTGCTCCCATACATTTGGAAATAAGACTCCTCTTTTTCACCTGCAGCGTGCTGTGCTCCTACAGACTGCAACTCTGCTGGGGGTCCTTCTCATGGGTTATGGCTACTTTTGGCTCCTGGTACCTGACCAGGAGGCCCAGCTGCAACAGCTGGGCCTCTTCTGCAGTGTCTTCACCATCAGCATGTACCTCTCACCACTGGCTGATTTGGTGAGTGGGGGTGTCCAGGAGGTAGGATAGATAAGAAGGACCAGGCTCCCATAGCCAGAGACTGTGGCTATACTCCAGAGGAAAGGAAGATCCAACCCTGGAAAGAGTCAAGGCAGTAGAAGGGGGAGTGGGAGAGGCAGGAGAGGACTGGTAACATCAGGAAAGGTGTTTGACCTTTGTCCTGAGGAAATTCTTGGACAAGATGGGAGCTTGGCTATGTACCTAGACCAGGAGTGTCTTTCATCCTTTCCCACAGGCCAAAGTTATTCACACTAAATCAACCCAGTGTCTCTCCTTCTCACTCACCATTGCCACTCTCCTTACCTCCTCCTCCTGGTCCCTCTATGGGTTTCGACTCAAAGATCCTTACATCATGGTAAGCAGAATACAGAGGGGGTGACAAGTTTGTACAGTGAAAAACTGGCTCCCCGCCTCATAGCAGCCCTTTGATTTCAGGTGCCCAACCTTCCAGGAATCCTTACCAGCTTTATCCGCCTCTGGCTTTTCTGGAAGTACCCCCAGAAGCAAGACAGAAACTATCGACTCCTGCAAACCTGAGGCAGTTAACCTGACCACTGGGCACCTTAATGCCAACTTGATACCAAAGCGCGCTCCTTGTTTTGGCTGGTCCTGGAGACCAGTTCATGGGTGCAGTACATTGTGGGAAAGAGGACTTTGAGATTAGAGGGATCAAAGAAAGAGCTTTACTTAGATCAGGTGGGACCTAAGAGATGAAATCACTTCTTTTTTTTTGAGAGATTATCTTTTGTAATTATGAAGGTTGGGGTTTTATCTTTAGAATGTGCCTTAAAATAAACTGTTCCCCACCCCTGCCCATCATGGCTTATTCTTTATTCATGATTCTAAACCTGTCTAGTTTGGTGAAGGGTAGACCCAGTTATTCTCAGGCTGGTGAGGTTGGCTCAGAAAAAGTATCTGGAAGAACCAAGAGGTTTTCAAGAGGCCTTAAAAACCAAAGCTTGGAAGTTATAAAGAATGGAAGTTAGGCTTAAGATGTGTTTCCTGTTAAAGAGACCAGGAAAATAACATTTATATTTGGAGAGTTCTTTTTTTTTTAGAGAATTTTAATATTATTTTTTAGTTTTCGGCAGACACAACATCTTTGTTTTTTGTATGTGGTGCTGAGGATCGAACCCAGGCGGCATGCATGCCAGGCGAGCGCGCTACCGCTTGAGCCACATCCCCAGCCCTGGAGAGTTCTTGAGAAGGGGTTTTGCCTTTTTTTTAATTTGTAGATGGACACAATGCCTTTATTTATTTATTTTTACGTGGAGCTGAGGATGGCAAGCGCTCTACCACTGAGCTACAACCCAGCTCTGGGTTTTGCCTCTTTTTGAGCAAAACTGGGGAACACCAACCAGATGCAAAGGTAAAGGCTGAGATGGCCTCAGGAAAGGCATCTTCTCACGACCACTGGTATACAGCATCCGCAATTCCCATTCTGCGTACTCAAAACTAAACAAGAGTTAAAAAATAAATTTGCTCTTTAATGGGGAATGTGAGGGAGGGTTGTCCAGGCGGGAATGGGTTTAGAGTGTCAGAAGCGTAGCCCCCTGCGGGCTAAATCAGCTCGGGCCTCCTGAATCTGGCTCTGCAGCTCACGGGCGGCATCCTCGCAGTCATGAAAAGTGGCCACGCGATACCCCACAGTGCCCAGAGCATAGCAGCCTGCGGACACCAGCAAGTAGGCGGGCAATGGCCACAGGACTTCCCGGCAGGGCGAGGGCAGGTCCAGGCCCAGAGCTCCCATGGTCAGGGCGGCCCAAGCCGAGCCCAGGAGCGCCAATGCCCAAAGCCATTGAGCTAGTTTCGTCATGGTCACTGCGGAAAAAGAAAGCAAAGTTGGGGGTCTCTTCCGACCCACAAAATGCCCTACATTCGAGACCCATTCCCCCTTGCTCCCACGGTCTTCGCCTTCTCCACTAAGCCCTCAAACTACAACCTTACCTCTCGCCTTCGTCCAGCTGTCCGTGCGGTCCTGGCCGCCATCAGCTTCCGGGAGTCCTCCGCAGCTCCGCCCCGTCACCGCGCGGCCTTCTGGGAGCTGTAGTTCTCAGGGCAGCGCTCGGAGCTAGACGAGGTTTCCTAGCAGTCTCTGCTCCGCAAACCATAGGCTGGGTCCCTGGAACTGCTTCCCTATTCCGGGATTCAGCTCCAGCTGGCGTGGGGCTTGTAGAAAGACAGCTCACCCCTAAACGTTGCAACAAGGTGGGAATATAATATGATCCCCAGCGCATTCATTCATTCACTGAAGCATTTCTTGAGCGCCATGGTAGACTGGAGATTAAAAAAAAAAAAAAAAAAAAAGCCAAGAAGATGGAGCTGGTACTCTATAATGGTAGAGTTTTTGATGTTATTTTGTTTTGTTACCAGGGATTGAACCAGGCGTGCTTAACCACTGAGCGCATCCCCACCTTTTATTTTTTATTTTGAGACAAGTTCTCACTAAGTTACTTAGTGCCTAAATTGCAGGTTTAGGGCTGGGTTTGAACTTGTGATCCTCCTGCCTCAGCCTCCCGGATTGCTGAGATTACAGACGTGCCCCATAGCACCAGGAGGTGATAGAGTTCTTGCCTATCGTGCACAAAGCTCTGGGTTCTGTTCTCAGTACCAAAACACACAAACACACAGTTCCAAGAGACTTGAGAAGGAGGGGAGAGGGAAGAGGGGAAGGAGTCAGGAAAGCCCTGAGTTGATAACTAGCCATGATGTCTTGAGGTAAGTATTAGGAGCTTGGTGGGTATGGTTTTTAAAAGTAACGCACAGGGGCTGGGGTTGTGGCTCAGTGTTAGAAAGCTCACCTAGCACACGTGAGGCACTGGGTTCAAACCTCAATGAAATAAAGATATTATGTCCACCTACAACTAAAAAAATAAATATTAAAAGAAAAAGAAACGCACAGGGAGAAGGACTCCAGGAGTTATGTCCTTTAAGAATAGAAGGTAAAGGGCTGGGGTTGTGGCCTAGCACCTGCAAGGCTCTGGGTTCCATCCTCAGCACCACATAAAAATAAATAAACAAAATAAAGATATTGTGTACAACTAAAAAATAAATATCTAAAAAAATAGAAAAATTACAGAGGAATTATCTGATATCTTTGATCGTTTAAGGTATTTAAAAAAAAAAAATGTGTGGGCTCTCACGAGTTTGGCAGAGCCAGGCGCAGAGGCACAGCCTGTAATCCCTGAGGCTGAGGCAGGAGGATCAGGAGTTGAAAGCCAGCTTCAGGAAAAGTGAGGCACTAAGTAACATAGTGAGACCCTGTCTCTAAATAAAATGCAAAATAGGGCTGGGATGTGACTTCAGTGGTTGAGTTCCCCAGTGCCAAAAGGGCGGGAGGTGGGGGTGGGGTGGGGGGTAGGCATGGTGGTGCATGCCTATAATCTCAGCATCTCTGGGGGCTGAGGCAGGAGGATCATAAGTTAAACACCATTCTGGGCAACTTTGCAAGGCCCTAACCAACTCAGTGAGATCCTGTTTCTAAAAAAAAAAGGCTGGGAATGTGCCTTGTGGTTAAGCAACCCTGGATTCATCCCCAGTACCAAAAATAATATAATAAAATAAAAGGGCTGGGGATGTGGCTCAGTGGTTAAGTGCCCCTGGGTTCAATCCCTGGTAACAAAATAAAATAAAATAAGTGATGTAGCTCAGTGATAGAACAATTGCTTAGCATGTGTAAGGCCCTGGGTTCAATCCTAGGGGGGAAAAAGATAATAAGTTAAATGATTATAATAATAATCAGAAGTAGTAAATAAACATTCTGAGCAGCTATGCTATTATGTGTCATGCCCTGTACAACACTGTCATGTTTAATTTTCACAACATGCTGCAGTCGGTATTTTCATATCCCCATGTATGAGCAAGGAGACACAGAAAAGATAAAATGCAAGTAAATTGCCCAAGGTCAAACAGATAGTAAGAAGCCATCCAACTCAGAGGTATATTCTGGGCAAAAGCACTCTGCTGTGTTGCTGGTACAGAAGTGGTCAGATAGGGATCATGGTAACAGCGAGATTGATTTCTAGGTGCCAAACACTGTGGTGAGTGCTGTAAGTGCATATCTCATCCACTCTTCACAGCAACCATATGAAATAGGTACTGTTATTATTTCTGTTTAACAAATGAGGAAACTGAGGTGCAGCCCAGACAATCTGACTTCAAAACCTGCTTACTTTACCACTACAATACACCATCTCCCTCTCCAGGTCTATGAAACAGAATAAAGAGGGAAGAAATTGATAAGCATCTATACCAACTTAGCAGGATAGAGGTGGCATCTTGAGTGAGGAAAGACAGATTCTGAAACCTCATATCTTATATTAAAATACTCAGTGCATTAAAAATATATTAATATCATGCTCCCATCTGATCTAGTTTGGATCTGAAATGACCCCCCAAAGGATTATATGTTGAAAGCTTGGTCCGCAGTGCAGCAATGTTCAGAGGTGGGGACTATGGGGAGTGATTGGATCATGAAGACACTGACTTCATCAATAGACTAGTGCATTGATGATTCAAAGCTGAATGGACTACTGGGAGGTGGGACCTAACTGAAGGGAGTGGGTCCTTGCTAGTGTGTCCTTAGGAACTATATATTGTCCCTGGCCCCTTTATTCTCCCTCCCTCTGCTTCATGCTGCCATGAGGTGAGAAGCTTTCCTCCTCTATGCATTTCTGTCCTGAAGTTCTGCCTCATTTCAAGCCGAAATCAATGGACCCAGCCAACCATGGATTGAAACCTCTGAAATTGTGACCCAAAATAAATCTTTCTTCCTTTTTTTTTTTTAATTTTGAGTCGGGGTTTCGCTAATTTGCTCAATTGGCCTTGACTTACAGTCCTCCTACCTCAGCCTCCTGAGTCACTAGGATTACAGGCATCTTGGCACTTGGCTAAATTTTTCCTCCTCTAAATTATCTTTCTCAGATATTTATCTTATCACAGTAACAAAAAGCTAACATACTGCCAAGATGCCAACACACATACACACAGAGTTAGGGGTGTAACTCAGTGGTAGGCAACTTGCCCAGCATATGTAAGGCCCTGGGTTCAATCTCCAGACACACACACACACACACACACACACACACAGTGGAGCCCTACATATGCTACAAGAAAATGTGTGCATATTTCCCTAACAATCAGCTCAAGCATCATGTCTGCTAAGCAGCCTCCTTGGGCCTTGGGCCTGTCTTGGGGGTTGGTTACCACTCCGTCCTCTGTGCTCACACTGAGTCTCTTCTATAGATGGGAGTAACCATGTTGAACTACAAGAGATTTGTTTCCCTGCCCAGGACCATCCTGTCTCTAGAACCAAGCACAGGGTGGGAAACTCAGTAGGGTTTCTATAAATGCAGAGAAGGACAGGTTAGCATTTGATGTTTCCCAGAGAAACTGACCCAGCTTCCCTGGTCCCTTGGTCCCTGGTCCCCTACTCCAGAGGTTCCAGTCTACCACACTCAGGGTCTTTGGCCATAGAAAGCACTGGGCAAAAGCCAGAAAATTCTTAAGGTCCAACTCCTTTCTCCTCAAACCTTTTGCAGATCATCACCCTTCTGTCACAGCAGGACGAAGAACATGTGGTGACCACAGGGTATGGGAAACAGGGTAGCTTGGGGTAAAAAATTGGGCTTTTAGAACCCAGTGGTCCTGGGGATGGATCTTGGTTTCTTCCTTTATTTATCTGAGTGACCTTGGGCAAGTAATATTAGCTTTTTGGACCTCACTTTTCACAGCTGTTCAATACAATTAATAATTGATCCTCTCTGGGTGTGGCAATACATGCTTATAATCCCAGCAACTCAAGAGGCTGAGGCAGGAGGAACACAAGTTCAAGGTCAGCCTCAGCAACTTAGCAAGATCCTGTCTCAAAATAAATAAAAAGGACTGGGGGTATTGTTTAATGATAAAGTTCAATCTAGTACCCAAAACAAAAGCAAACAAAAGACAACCCAATGTGCTATAGGTAGGGTGCCTAAAACAATGTGTGATATTTGGGAGGCATGAGTGTGTATTAGCTACACTTGTTGTTATGTACACTTGCCATCAGTTACGTCTCAGGGCTGAGGATGCACTTTAGCCCTGCCCTGGCTCCCCCTCCTACCATCATTCACAAACTGAGTGAGCTAAGTTACTTCTGCAGCTGGCCACACTAGTAATTGTTGACATTTTCTGCTCTTTTTTAGGGTGGGGATACTGGGAATTAAACCTAGGGGTGCTTTATTACTGAGCTCCACCCCCAGCCATTTTTATTTTTTTATTTTGAGACAGGATCTTGCTAAGTTTCTTAAGGCCTTGCTAAATTGCTGAGGCTGGCCTCAAACTTGCAATCTTCCTGCCTCAGCCTCCTGAATCACTGGACATTTTCTGCTATGACTACCTTTGGTTAGAGAGGGAGACAAATTCCAAACCCAAGAGCCCCCATAAAAGATGGAGAAATATGCAAAACTAAATAGGTCCCAGAGGAGGGGAGCTTGATCTGTCTGGGGAGAGGTTTTAAAGGGGCCCAGAAACTTGAGCTGATTCTAGAAAGATGAGTAACCATTTCCAGTTGAAGAGGAAGCACGGGAGGCCAAGGAAACAGTCTGAATAAAGGCACAGAGGCATAAAAGTCTGTGGTGAGTAATCCTTTGTGACCATCTCTGGGACAAAGAATACTTCATGAGGTTGGGGGAGAGGTGGTGAAACTGGGAAAGCTGGCCAGGGCCAGGTGATTAAAGACCCCTTAAATGTATTTGTATTGGGGGTGAAGGGTTGGTGCCTCAGGTCAGTGGTCCCACCCCATGGTCCCCATATGTGCCTGTACATCATGTCAGGCAGTAGGACTTGGTGACCACAGTTGCCAAGGTGATTACTAGGACCTTGGGGAGGGTTTCAGGTGGTCAGGTTACACTGAGTCCATCTCTGCCCTTAGGACACCCATAGTTTCATAGCAGCAACAGGACAAACACACATATAATCAACAAAAACACATACTTACAAAATTACAGATGGCTCTAAGGGAAAATGGGAGATGAG